TGGAGACTAGATAATCACCCCACTGACCAGGTAAATATTTCAAATACCTAGGGATATTCTACCAGTCAAATTTAAACTGGACAACACACAGGTGCCGAATGATCACCCAGGCAAAATGCCCCACATCTGCGATTCTTCATTTTTTCTTCCTCAGAGGCAACCGGATGGTCTCTGCTGCAATAAATATTTTTAATGCCAGGTCCTTTCTCAGTTATTGTACAGCATTCCAATTTGGATACAAGCATTTAATAGAGAAGTTGAACAAATTCAAGCAACTTTTCTTTGTAAGATCCTTGGTGCCCCTAAATGCTTAAGTTACTTAGCCTTAAGTGTTGAAACCGGCCAACATCTGATGGAAACCAAAGCATGGCTGACTACAACCAAGGCCTGGCTGAAAGTCCACTTCAGAACAACATCTAACTCCTTCTTAACCTCTGTGCTTGAAGATTGCATTTCCTCTAGATGATATAGAGCAATTCAAGATAAAATGTGTAGTTTGGGCATTGCTCTCAAGAGCCTTGAAGCATGTGACAAAAGTTACATATTCCAAATAATCAAGCAGCTGCTCTACGACCACGAAAGACAGCGCTTGTTACCTCATATGCCAAGATTCTGTTCTCCGGAGGCCTTAGGTATCACCTGTGCCAAATATCTAAAGGATCTAATACAGTACTCCCCTCCCATTGAGGAGCCTTTATGCTCATGAGATTAAACGCTTTCCCTTCTGCAGTGACCAAAGGCAGATTCTCACATGCTCCATATCAAGCCCGTTTGTGTTCCTGCAACCAAGAAGTACCCTGGCTCAATGGATCCACATTCTCTTAGATTGCTCTTTACGGCAGCAGACCTCGCCAACTTGATGCTGAGCAAAATGTTGGACTATAACTCCGAGAATAAGTCAAATGAGGTTTCTCCTGGCGGATTCCCGGACATAAGATATCACTGCTTTAGTAGCCTCCTTTTTAGCCACAACCTTACCCAAAAGGTTTCCTAACGATTCATCCTTTTGGGGAACAGACAGGGCGAAGCAGAATATCTAAGTGCACACAATCACAGTGTGACCTTATGACCCTCAACAACTTCACACTTGTTCTTTTAATGATCCCAGTGACTTGAAATGTTTTATACTGTGATGCCAATAAAGGTATTTGATTTGAACAATAGCCTGATATTGGAAACAGTCCCTAGAAATCCCATTGAAGTCTAACTTAAATAGTATTTGGAATGTGGCTCTACCAGAACGCCTTACTCACCACAGAAGGATAATTAAAGGCACTTCATGGATTGGAAACTTTTGGTGAGATGCCGACTTTCCTTTCTTTTCCTTTATAAATGAGACGGAAAATATTTTAATTCCACCCATCATCAGCACAAGAATCTCTGCGGAGAGGCTACTTGAATACATAAATAAATGTATTGCTTGTGTAGTATGTATTGCATATGAAACTTAATAAGAATGTACCATTGGGCAAGTTACTGTAGTTAGAGGTTGTTCTTGTATTTAAATGAAAAACAATAAAAATTATTGGGGGAGGGGTGAAAGTCGCCTTCCTATTTAGATAACTTTTTTAGCTGCAATAATGCATCAAATTCCCTCTCTCACATACCCTCCAATATCTCTCCAATGAAAATAGGGACGTATCATCATCATCATGTGCTTTTTTTCTAAAAATGTTTAGGGGTACTCTCAATTTCCTACTCATACAGTGGTACTTTACTTCAGGTTACAGACTGCTCAGAAATAGTTCCTCGGGTTAAAACTTTGCTTCAGATAGAACAGAAATCGAGGCCCCATTAGCTAAATGTGTGCTTCAGGTTAGGAACAGTTTCAGGTTAAGAATGGACCTCCAGAACGAATTAAGTTCTTAACCCGAGGTACCACTGTATGAGTAGGAAATTGAGAGTACCCCTAAACATTTTTTAGAAAAAAAGCACATGATGATGATGATACGTCCCTATTTTCATTGGAGAGATATTGGAGGTATGTGAGAGAGGGAATTTGATGCATTATTGCAGCTAAAAAAGTTATCTAAATAGGAAGGCGACTTTCACCTCCCCCAATAATTTTTATTGTTTTTCATTTAAATACAAGAACAACCTCTAACTACAGTAACTTGCCCAATGGTACATTCTTATTAAGTTTCATATGCAATACATACTACACAAGCAATACATTTATTTATGTATTCAAGTAGCCTCCGCAGAGATTCTTGTGCTGATGATGGTGGAATTAAAATATTTTCCGTCTCATTTATAAAGGAAAAGAAAGGAAGTCGGCATCTCACCAAAAGTTTCCATCCATGAAGTGCCTTTAATTACCCTTCTGTGGTGAGTAAGGCGTTCTGGTAGAGCCACATTCCAAATACTATTTAAGTAGACTTCAATGGGGATTTCTAGGGACTGTTTCCAATATCAGGCTATTGTTCAAATCAAATACCTTTATTGGCATCACAGTATAAAACATTTCAAGTCACTGGGATCATTAAAAGGACAAGTGTGAAGTTGTTGAGGGTCATAAGGTCACGAGATGTTGATGCACAAATTGGAGACTGGAGAAATACCAACTAGTACAATGGCAAGAGAAGTTAGAGAACTATGCAAACTGGCAAAAATGACAGACCAGATTAAAGAAGAAAAAGACAACAGTGACTTTGAAAAGAATGGAACATTTTATTTATACTTGCAGAAACAAAGAAAGTCTATAGCTTGATGGCAGGATTTAAATAAACATTCATGTTTGGTATTAGAAAATGTGTAGAAGATAGAGAAGAATTATGGTGTATTCATTGTTATTTTTATTTTTCAGGTTTGATGTTATTGTATAAATATGTTTTAGTACCTTTTAGAGAGGCAGCAAAGTGGGTAAAAGGAGAACACAACCAGAAGAGGAAGTTGGGGGAAGCCTAGTAGGGAGGGAGAAAGGAATATATAGTAATGTTATGAATAAAAGATGTGTAATGATAAAAAAGAAAATATGACTAATTTTTAAAAAGAAAAAGAGGGGGGGAAAAGAGAAACGACCTTGAGTGTGTTTTGGAGGGGGAAACTTCAAGCATTGGCATCACACACAAGCTAGAGTCTGCTATTTGCCTGGGGGTGCAATGCAGGGGACAGGGTTTGCAGTGGTGCACTAGCATGCTTTTGCGTTAAAACTTATTTTTTCCAAACTATGCTTCAATGTGAGATTCAAACAGTCGCGGATTGTGTTCGCAGCAAATTAAGAGAGTTACATACTTTCCCCTACAATCGCAGTATATGACCTCTTAATTTTTCATAACACGATGCTTAAAATGTTCTTGATCACTGAGACCGTTACCTACCTCACAGTTTTTCAATAGTTCCGAGTCACTATTCCGTTGAGCGTTTTGCATGAAGGAAGACGAGGACAACTCTACAATGTATTACGGAGGGCTGGTTTTCCCTGAGAAACTGGAGATGCCCATTTGGTTTGAGAAGGGACTGCTGGTGCTGAAGAAAAAATAAGTGAATTATTTATTACGCCAAATGCCAGAGCAAACCGTCTGCTATTATGCTAGCAGCATAACTGCTTTGTGCTGAAAACAAAAAAGAACAGACCACAGGAAACACTTACACAAAGGTAAAGAATTTCCAAACCTTGACAAGAAAGTTGTTAAACTCAGTGAAAATAACTGTCTCATCAATGAGAATGAGTGTATAGAACTCAAAAAGTACAAATTATTACTATAGCATACAGTTGTTCCTCAGGTTAAGTCTTATAATTCGTTCAGAGGTCGTACTAACCTGAAACTGTTCTTAACCTGAAGCACCACTTTAGCTAATGGGGCTCCTGCTGCTAGCGCTGCAAGACGATTTCTGTTCTATCCTGAAGCAAAGTTTTACCTGAGCACTATTTCTGGTTAGCGGAGTCTGTAACCTGAAGCGTATGTAACCTGAGGTATCTCTTTCAATTGATGGGCTTCATTAGCAACTAGTCTTAGTGAGACCAGTGTGGTTCAGACTATAAGGCAGACACAGGCACATCCAATGAAATTCATGAGACAGAATACTTAAGAAGATCTCTTCCCATTGAGTTTTCTCACACACCGCTCCAATTCTTCAAGCAGAAAATATAGGGCCAGATCCCTGTACTAAACGCAACTCGCTTGGAAAGGGCATCTAAGGCAAATAATGGTGAAAGAGATGTGAGTTCTAGGCCTTACTGACCAATTTAAGAATTGACAAATTACCAGGCCTGGATAGCAATCCATTGAGTGTTTTAAGAACTCAACATATAAACTGCTGATCTTTTAACAAATATGCAACTTGCCTCCAAGATCAGCCTCCATACCAGAAGCCTTTTTTCTGATGACTGACAGCATACGGTCTTTTTCCGAGTATAAATATGCCCCATGCATAAGACGACCTACTTTTTGAACCCAAATTAAGAAATCAATATTTTAAACATCAAACAGAAATTTGATATTTAATAAAATATCTCAAGTTGTTAGCCGAGCCCACGGGACGGACAGTTCACCTGAGGCCGGTACACCCAGTGGCACCCCACTCCGCCTACTACACAACTGAGGACCGTTATTTACTACCGGTCTATTTAAACATCAGCAGCGGCAGTATGGTTAGTGAGTGGCATGCATTGGTTGGCAGAAGTGGTTAGTGAAATGATTGGTTGTTCCAGCAGCTTTCTTCATGGCAGCCACAGGAAGGTAAGTGGTGCTTTTTTTTAAACTCAGTGGCATTCATCATCTGTGTTAAGATGACCAATTTTTGACTAATTTTTTAACAAAAACTCATCTTATACATGATTAAAAATATATTAAGTTGCACTGAGTGTTGCCTTTTTTGCTGAAATGACTGTCTACTGCTAAGCGCCTTTCAATTTGAAAAAAATCAGCCTATCACATTTACCTGTTATTACTGACATCAAGCCAACAGAGTTTGATCATCTCTGGTATTGGTGTCTACAGAAGCAGCCTCTTGATCCAATTTTCACCAAGCCCAGGTTTTCCATATCTCATGCTTGCAAGCATGTGGTTATCCTTTCAAAAAGAAAAAGAAAAATTACATGACACACCCACTTCAAAAAGAAGGAAGGAAAGAAGGCAGCCGTACATCAACATTCAGTGTTCGAAATCATGGCAACTATTTAGCAGTCCAACTTCATTAAGGTGCTTTCAGAATCAAGGCTTGAAACCAAGTATCTTCAAAGCTACAGAAATCAGTTGTTACTTGGCTGCCAAGCAATTGTTCCATTTTCTATACATGCCAGTCAACACTGAGTACAGTGGTACCCGC